CAAGTAGCTGGCAGCGATCTTGGAGCTTGGAAGAGAAATTTGTCAAAGAATGGAGCCCACACTGAGCAAAAAAGACCTGAATGCTGAAGGGAGCCAGGCCGTGTCCTGATGATGTCCTAGGGCCACCAACACCCACGCAGAAGTTTCGGCCATCGAGCCAGCCGGTCCCCTGCACCACCATGACACGTCTCCTGGTAAGACTGGAAGCGAGGATCCCAGGGGCAGGGCATGAACGGCTCCCTTGCTGCTCTGCATGGGGGCAGCTGTGGACTGAGAACACCCGGACGGCCACCCACAAGCAGTGCTTCATGGTAGCGGATTGGTCCAGTGGGACAACTCCGATCTTGATTCCCCCCCCCCTCCCCCGCCTCCTAATCTCTCAGGCGTCTGCTAACCTCTCAGGCTCTCATCAGCTTTTCATCCGTGAAATGATGGGGTTGGGTGGACAGGATGTTCTTGGTATCTGCATATTTAATGCTCATTAAACTTCTGCAGCGTGGCCGAGCTGGCAGCATCCTTTCAAAGGTCACTGAGCCCAATGTCCTCACTCAGCTGAGGGAATGGAGGCGGGAAGAGCTTCCTGGAGAAGGACTGGCTGTGCATGGCCGAGCGAGAAGCAAGGCCGGGCTGCTCAGCCCACTCCGCCCGTCCCTCTCGTTATTCCTCCTGGTGAAGTATGTGTACTCAGGGCGTTTCCCCTGAAAGTCTGTGGAGTCCAATGTCATTCACCGAATGAACACAGATATCTGAGTCGCAGCCTGAGAACTGACATAACATTTGCATGTCTTCTTTTGTTTAGTGTATTTTTGTAAAATAGAATTATTCCATCATGCCAGTTTCCTCCGTTTCACTTCCCACAGTCATTTTAATACCAAAGAATTAGTGGGTTCTAGAATCTTCTCAGCCATTTCAGAGAACAGGAGACCACACTAACTTCTGCATCGCAGTGCAAATCCTGGTGGATTGTGGGCGCGGCTGGTCTGAGTCCCTGCCCCTGCTTCTTCCTGGAGCAGCCTGGTGGACCCGTGAAAGGACTGCACCAGCCACCCCAAACTAGTGGTTTAAAATGACAACGACATTCCTCTTCCTTAGGAATGGGCTGCTTGGGCGGAGCTCGGGGGGCAGCTCCTTTCTGTGGACTGGACATCAGCCACGGCGGCTCCGACGTGGAGGCTGGTGCCGTCCAAAGGCACGCTTGCCTGTCTGCCCCTTGGTCTGCACTGTCGTCCACCTGGGCTTGTCGCTGGGGCTGCTGGCCGGACACCGTGGCCACTCTGTGTGGCTTGCTCTTCCTCACGCGGTGGGCTGGGCTTCAGGACCCAGTGTCCCTGTCACATTTTATCTGACGAGACAGCACACAGGCCCTCCCAGGGTCAAGGGGGTGGAATAAACTGCCCCTCGTGTGCAGCGGTGGAAGGGCACAGGACTGGAGTGCTCCCTGTGCAGACTGGCACCGCTGCAGGGTGGACCCCGGGTGGTGCCACAGCAGGAGTTCCCTGGGCTACCCAGAGGGGAGACGCCTGCTGGGCTCAGTGTTGTGTTTATGTGTTTGGGTTTTCGTTTGTTTTCTTCTTTCACCACCGGATCAGAAATGAGAGGCAGGGTGGTGTGGGCTGGTCCCTCCTCCAGCCTTAGGGTAACTGCTCTTCCCCTAAGGGCCTGTTTGATACTTTTGGCCCTAAAAGATTCAGGGAGGATGGAATTGGAAGGCTGATGAGTCCCTGACCTGCAAATTGGTGTGATTGGCATTTGCCTCCAGTGCCCTGCAGTTCCTCACCTGCCTCCTTCCGCACCAGCCTACAGGAAGCCGCCTCCTCTGCCACCGTCTCCTCTGCCACCAACGCGGCACCTGTGGCCCAACCTGCGCGGGTGCCGAGGGCACAGCCTGCGAGAGGCACCACAGCTCACTTAGGAGGTCCTGGTCCCATGAAGGTCCGCGTGCAAACCCTAAGCTGGAACGCAGCTCCTGATGAGGCAGAGCTGAATGGAGACATGTGCGAGGACTAGCAAATGCAGTAGCCTCTCAGGGAAGTATGTGTAGTACAGAAACCCCGAAGCTTATGGAACTGGAAGCATTGTGTCCGCATTATAAAACGCTTTCTTCAGATGCACTAAAAACAGTCACTGCAGACAGCATAATTACTCTCCTGGAAGATGAAGAGGAGCACATTTCTCACGTCACAGAGCAAAGAAACATATGGATAAAATTTTATACATCCGGACAGGCAGAACTGGAAGAAGTGGATGAATACCAACCAGACTCTTATCGGCAGCTCCAGGAGCCAGAAGGCAATCACTGAGCAGTATCTCCTAGACCCAGCCCGTGACAAACTACGGCCCGCCGGCCCGGATTCCAGCCCGGTTTGAAATGAATTAAACTAAAAAAAAAAAAAAGACCGTACCCCTGTTATGTAATGATGTTTACTTTGAATTTATATTAGTTCACACAAACACTCCCATCCCATGCTTTTGTTCCGGCCCTCTGGTCCAGTTTAAGAACCCATTGTGGCAAAAAGTTTGCCCACCCCTGCTCTAGACTAAGCATGTCAAACTTGGGGCCGGTGGGCCGCATGCCTCGTTTATTTAGATCTAGACTATTGGGACAAGACGATTATGATCAGAACTCCCACATCAAGCCCAGTTACCGTTTATTGACAAGGCCTTGGAGTTTATACTCATGTAACTTACCTGTTTATTATTCATGCGTCTTACTACTTATTAAGGCATGGAGGCCTCAGGGTTTATTATTCATCTAACGTAGCCAGGGGAAATAATTGGCAAAGTGGCAAATTTGATAGAGATCTCCAAACTTTGGAAGGTAGGAGGACAGAACATAGGAGTGAGCAGCGCATCTGGGGATGAGTACATAGTTTAGCCTAAAGAGATGAGGTGTTTTTTATACCAGGAATCTCTGGAGTATGATTAAGTGATGATTATTAGTAAGTGATGATTATTGCAACAAAAAAGACAAACTGTAAGGGAAAAGCCTAATAATAGCCATCAAACTCAGGAGTCGGGGGTGGAAGAGGGTCCCCGGAAAAATGAACATCAGGAAAGAGGAGTGAGGAAGGACTTCATTTTGCTCCACGGATTTGTTAATAGGAACGAATAGGTTCAGTGATGATTTTAGGGGCGACAGTTTCTTTGTGAATGATTTAGGGCTCTCCCCTCCTGGGGAATTGCAGGTGGACATCTCATGGCGACCTGGATGGTGTTGACCCCGACAAGCTGAGGTTTGGATTACTTTGCTTGTGGAAGTTTCCCCCGTAAACCTTGACCTCAGCAGCAGCATCGGCACCGTTGCAACCCCTGCACCCACAGCACCAGCCGAGACCATGTCTGCAGCTCCATTCGAGGCTGGGTATCTACCTGGGAGCCTTCCCAGTGGGGCTTGGAGATCGAGTCCCATGTGAGAAAGAGTGTGGGTTACAGGCAGTGGGAGAGTGATCTGGAGTGTGCGTTGTTAGCCACGGGGAAGCAGGGTAGGTAACAGTTACAAGGAGGAGCTAGCGGACAGAGCAGGTGCCAGAGGGACTCTGGGGTTGGGGAGGGCACCAGAGGAGTCAGCGCTGACTCAGGGTTTCATCCCTTCTTAGGGAGGGAGTCAGGGTGTTTTTGGCAAAATAATATGTATTGGTCCCTCTGAGCCCTGCCCTGCCAGGAATGCCAGGGTGGGGGGGGGGAGTGAAGAATAAGCCCATATTCATGGCCCTGGCCCTCTCGCCATAGGGAATTATCTTCCAAGCCCTGCCCATGGGCCTGGGGGCTCCCCAAGGTGAAGCCCACGGTCCTGCAGGACTGTGCACCAGGACTTTATCCTCCTCCTTGTCACAGACTCGCCTCTCGGAGACCTGTACTTAAGCCGCTTCCTGCTGAACAAGATCACAGGGTTATTTTTAAAACTGTGCCCAGAACCATGGACCAAAAAAAGACCTTGGCAAGTCATTGAGTCCATCCTTACAGTTCGGGGAGAAGCACTCCCCCACTTTACCTCAGGGAACCTTCCTTCAGTGACAAAAACCAGGAAAAACACGCAGGCGGGCCTGGACCCGTGCTTCTGAGGGTCAGCCCCCATCTCAGGACACCTTGTGGTGCCTACACGTCAGGGATCCAGAGCAGCCAGCCCGTCTCTGACACGAGGCTCCAAACCGCGAGCAGGGGTCATGGTGCCAGGGCAGGCAGCGCTGTTTATTCTGTTCTGTGGCTCCAAGACCGTCCTGCTCCACCCTTAAAATCACAGTTCCCAAAGCCCTCTGAACTCACAGTGAAGAGGGGTTGTGTGCTAGGGCCGCCGCAACCAAGTACCCAGACTGGGGGCTGAACGACAGAGGTTTGTTTTTCCCTGTTTCAGAGACGAGAGACTGAGAAGAGATCAAGGTGTCACCAGGCTGAGTCCTCCCCAGGCCTGTCTTTGGCCTGTGGAGGGCCCTCTCCCTGCGTCTGCCTGGAGCTTCCCCTGGGATGCCTGTGCTCATCCCATCAGGGCACCATCCCCTGGCCTGGGCCTGCATCGACCTTATTTTAGCTTTATCACCTCTGTGAAGACCCTGTCTCTAAAATGGCACGTTCTGGGGTCCTGGGTTAGCACTTGAACGTATGAATTTGGGGGGAACACCGTTTAGACCACAACACCACCAGAGGTCAGATAAACACCAAGACCACTCTGTCTGCACCCCAAAACCACTTCTAAAATCATGTGGAAAGCCACCTTCTTCTCAGCGCTGGTCCATGTATGAGAACTTTTGAGAGATTAAAAAAAAAAGACTTTTAAAATAATACATTTATATGCATAAGAATATATTATGTAATAATTTATATTAATAACTTGATTATACCATCCTATATAATAAAACCCTAATATGCAAATTGACTGAACGGTGGAATGACAGGTTGCTATGATGCACACTGACCACCAGGGAGCAGACACTCAATGCAGGAGCTGCCCCCTGGTGGTCAGTGCACTCCCACAGGGGAGCGCCGCTCAGCCAGAAGTCGGACTCATGGTTGGCAAGCACAGTGGTGGTGGCGGGAGCCTTTCCCGCCTCCACGGCAACGCTAAGAAGCAGTAAGGGGTAGTGAGCAGTATAGAAGCGAGGGATCCTGGACTACGAGAAGATTCCCAGACTACAAGAGGGCGCAGGCTGGACTGAGGGATTCCCCCTCCCCCCCCCCGCCCCCCCCCCCCGCATGAATTTCCTGTACTGGGCCTCTAGTTAATATATAACATGTGTATTACTATGCTTATATATGTAGTATTACAACAAAGAATTGGTAGGCTTTGTATTAGAGATTTCAAAATAATGCCTGGATATATTGGAACCTGCAGGAAAATGTCCGTTCTGGGACTCAGAACATCTGAAGAGAATATGAAATATATGCAGTACTTTCAAAATTCCTCTTAGAAATGTATTTATCTGGTTAACTTAGTGATATTACGATATGTTATTTATAACTTAGTATGTTCATAAATTTATCACATGTGGCATAAAAATATTCCAGTTCACGTTATTTTGTAACGCATTTTATTTTATTTTTAAAGACTATTTTTTAGAGCAGATTTAGGTTCACAACAGCATTGAGAGGAAGGTGGAGAGGTTTCCCACGTGCCCTCTGTCTCCCCACATGACAGCCTCCTGTTGCCGGCATCACTCAGCACGGCGGCGCAGGTGTCCCTGCCGCAGATGAACCCACGCTCACACAGCATGATTGCCCCCAGTCCATCATTTGCCTTAGCGCCCACTCCTGGTAGTGTCCATTCTGTGGGCATGGACAAATGTACAAATACGCATATATCCGTCATTATAATATCATACAGCATATTTTCACTGCCTTAAATTTTTCTTTATTTTTATAATGTAGTAAGATACACGCAACATAAATTCACAGTCGTAAGCATTTGTAACTATGCAATTCAAGGGCATTAAGTACAGTCACACTTCTGTGCTACCATCACCACCTTCTGTACGTAGACCCATCCATTCATCTTGCAAAACTGAAACTCTGTACCCATGAAGCAATATCTCCTATTTCCCGCTTCCTCCCAGTCCCTGATAACCCATATTTACAATACACACACGGTCTGTTGTAGAAGAATGAGGAAAGTCAGCACAGCAAGGGAAGGACAGAGGAGTGGCTAGGACACTTTGACGTGTACCAGACATATTTTTGCCTCTGTCCATTCATAGGTGTAACTTTTTTACTGTGCACACTGGTTTGCAGCTTGCCCCTTTTTGCTTAATATATCTCAGTGCCTTTGCATATGAAATATGTCATCATTTTTAATACTCACATGGAAGTCCATTCATTGAAACAGTCCCCTTTGGATTCTGGGAGAAATCTTTGGGTTTTCCCCAATATGTTCATACAGTGAAGGACAGGACACAAAAAGTCAAGTACAAACGCAGACCTTTGTGAAACAGTGCTCTGATGGACCGTTCTCAGAGTTTAATCTCTGTCTACATCCTCAATTATTTCTGCAGGGTGAGTTCCTCCACTTAAGGTACTTTGAGAAAGGTATTCTGTATTTTTAGGCTTTTAAAACATTGCCAAATTGCCCTCAAGAAAGATTGTACCGTTTAATGCTTCCAACAGCTGTGGATGAGCACCCGTACTTTCCATCTCCAGCAACCTTGGGTATTGTCTCTCAAAAGAATCAAAATAATAGGTGGGTAGCCTGGCCAGGGTTGCTCAGTGGTTGAACATCCACCTATGAACCAGGTTACAGTTCAATTCCCAGTCAGGCACATGCCGAGGTTGTGGGCTCGATCCCCAGTGGGGGTCATGCAGGAGGCAGCCATTCAATGATTCTCTCTCATCATTGATGTTTCTGTCTCTCTCTCCCTTTCCCTTCCTCTCTGAAATCAATAAAAATACTTTTTTTAAAAAGGAATAGGTGGGTGTGGTTTTAAAAAATTAAGTTATAGGGAAGGGCTTATAATGGATAGCTATCAGCCTTCTTACTCTAATCCAACTCTCTCTCTCTCTCTCTCTCCTCCCTCCCTCCCTCCCTCCCCTCTCTGTAAATAATTTTCTATTCTGTTTCTTTCCCTGCCCCCTGGCACTTCTATTAGAATTTAAATAATTTTCTATTCTGTTTCTTTCCCTGCCCCCTGGCACTTCTATTAGAATTTACTTCCAGAAGTCTTTCCTATGTTCTAATTGTTCTTTTTTCATAACATCTAATTTGTGTTTTAAGGCATCTTTTTCTTCTTGAAGTCTCAGAAGAAACTAGTTAATAATGTGTTTTGCTTCTTAATGTAAGCTTTGTCTGTACCTTAAAGCACTCAGTTCTGCTGGTGTTGCTTTGAAAAGACAGATTTGTCCAAACATTAGAATAACTTTGCTGCTGTTTCTCCTCATTTCTCTCATGTCCCTTAATTCCCAAGAGATAATTTTCTTCTTGTCAACCGAATTCTCTTATTTTAATAGCCCTTTGTTGCTGGGTTGCTCTGCCATTGGGGACCTTCTCTCATGCTTCTGCCTGGCAAATCCTGCCCAGCCTCAGTAGCTGCCAGAGCCCCCTCCTAGGAAGCCTTTCTCGTGCCTCTCCCGGTGCCTGCCGGGTATATCCCTGCACAGCCTGATTTCCTATGAAGACTTTAGGGAAGACTTAAAATTGCTCTAGTGAGTTTCAGTCGGAAGAACTAGAGGGTATTTCAGGAATATCAAGTAACTGTCCGTTTACTCAGGATGAAATTAGTAGTAGGACGAGGTCCTCTGCTCCCCGTATATTAAACTAGCTATAATAATAGAACATCCACTCAGAATGGCTTTGGAAAGAGTTTATTTCTCTCAAAAATAAGTCCAGTCATATGTTGTTGCTGGAGTTGGATGAATGACTCACTGAGGTCAGGGCCGACGTCTCTGTAGTTCTCTTGGCCAACCCTTCATGGTTGCAGCATGGCTGCTGCCACACCTGCTATCGTATCTGCATTCAAAACAGGAAGACGAGAAGGAGCTTGAGAGCTGTGTCCTATTCATTTTTATCAGGAAAGCAAAGCTTTTCCAGGTGCCCCTGTAGAACGCGCGGCTCTTGTCTTGGGGCCTCGATCGCTGGGAGTAGAAGGATGGGGAGTATTGGGAGGACCTTGAAGAGATAAGTTTGTTGACTCAGAGGGATTTTCTGGAGCTGGGGTTTCGGATTGTATTCTGTCCACAGTGTTTCTTAGCATGCATCAGCATCACCTGGAGGGCTACATGGAGCACAGATTGCTGATCCCCACTCCCACAGCCTCCTACTCAGATGAGCTCTGAGCCGATGCTGATGCTCTAGGCCAGTGGTCAGCAAACTCAGTAGTCAACAGAGCCAAATATCAACAGTACAACGATTGAAATTTCTTTTGAGAGCCAACAATTTAAATTTCTTTTAAACTTAAACTATATAGGTAGGTACATTGTTATTAACTTAATTAGGGTACTCCTAAGGCTTAGGAAGAGCCACACTCACGGGGCCAAAGAGCCGCATGTGGCTTGCGAGCCGCAGTTTGCCAACCACGGCTCTAGGCCCAGGGACTACCCTTTGGCACGTTATATGAAGGTGATGACAATTTACAGCAGCGGTCGCCAACCTTTCGGACCTCACAGACCACCATGGTCCGAGGACCACCAGTTGACGACGGTTGATTTACAGTAACCTGATTTTCTCCTTTAAAAAAAGGGGGCCCTGGCTGGTTTGCCTCAGTGGATAGAGCGTCGGCCTGCGGACTGAAGGGTCCCAGGTTTGATTCTGGTCAAGGGCACATGCCCGGGTTGCGGGCTTGGTCCCCAATGGGGGCCGTGCAGGAGGCAGCCTATCGGTGATTCTCTCTCATCATTGATGTTTCTATCTCTCTATTTCTCTCCCTTCCTCTCTGAAATCAATATATATATTTCTGTATTCGTGATGCTGTGTCTGTACCTACAACACAAAGCCTTGCTGACCTGGGAGGGATGCCCCTCTTAGGGCCAGCCAATTCCTAGAGAGAGCAAGCACCTTGCTTGCAAGCCCACCTTTGGTGTACAAACCAGTCAATCCCGAGTCCATACCAGCATCCACCTCCTATCAGGACCCTGCAGCCAGATACTATCCTCTGCCCTAAATCACTGCAGGACCAGGTACTGGGAAATTGGGGACCATCCTTAGAGCCCAGAGCACTCCATAATTATTCACACTGTCCAGTCCAGTTTGCTTACCTTGCCCCCCCCCCCATCCCTTCCTGTGAAAGTCACCACAAAGGCTATTGCCACTTTTTTCTACTCGCTCTGCCCCTTATAGCCTGGCCTGTGCTTCGCGCTGTGGCCCTGCCGGGCGTGGTGCCTCCTGATAGGAGTCTGTGAATCTGGGAGTGTACATATGTTCATGGCAGTCACTTGCATGTCTGCATGCCTCCCTGTTATGGGGCCGGGGGAGGGGAGAGCTCCCTATTCCCACCAGTTGCTGGTGGGAGTGCACTTCTCGTGATTTCCCGAGAAAAGGAATTTTCTGAGCCTCGCACGGGAGGATGAGCTGTTGTAGAAAGCTTTATTTCTGTGGAATTAAACCCCTGAGTTCCCAAGCTCCCATGTCCCCTTGTCCCGCGGAGGAAGCAGTGTAGCTGTGGCTTCGGCAGAGCTGGAATCAGAGCCAGTGTCCAGAGTTTTCGCTCCATACGGGAGCAGTGTCCAGTCCAGCATCAGGCTAGCTTAGCTTGTGTTCCCACCTGCATCTATCAGTCCACACTGCGTGTGGGGTCCGCAGGGCCACATGGCCATATAGGGAACACAGGCAGAAGCAAAGCCAAAGGAACATGAGATCCCAGAGAGCCACGAGCCCAGAGAAGAGCAAACTCCTTTGTCTGCAGGATTATATATTCCCTTAAGAAAGCCACGTGCCTGCAACACAAATGCAGAGCCAAAACATTACCAGTGACGTTGAAGTTGCCTGTATATCCCTCCCAAAGACAGCCCCCCTTCCTGTTCCAGAGATAATCACTGCTTGAAATTTTGTGTTTTTAATGCTTTCTTTTTATTTAACTACATGTGTATTTTTCCCATGTTCTTCAGTGGTGTTTGGTTTTGAGCTTTCTGAAAATGGTATAATTTACTAGT